CAGCAGCCCTCAGTAAGAAGATGGTAAGAGAAGATGAAAAACAACATTCTATATTCTTATTCCTGCCACACGATAAGACATAGTCAGTTTGTTAAACGGTAAGGCATGATGACTTTCAAGGGCTTTCAAACGCCCTTTCCAACACTAAACAACTTGACAATCGAATGGATGTTTAATGTTTGATTTTCTAATTTTCAAAAATGCATCCTTCTCGCTTCCTTCTCTATATCCTGCCTCTGGAAACTTATGCCTGTGTTTATGCACAGAAATCATTTATGTGCAGGAGTACGGTTTCTAGCAGAAACAAGCAACTTCAAAAATCGCACATTGGGCAAAGATGTATTGTTAATAATAACATTAGTTAATAATGTTTTACGCAATTTTGAAGTTATGTTCTTGCCCAGGAACAAGTTGTATTTACGGAGCGGTCACTACTAAACACTAAAATACCAGGAAGCATTTCAACTACAGAATCATTATTTTACTTAGAGTCATAAACGGCATGGTGAACATGAATATATTTATTGCAGGCCTCCAGCTACATTCAGTAAATTTTCATATTTGTCGTGAATTAAAGAAAAATGATATTGAAATCTGATTGATATTTTGGATAGGGGAACTGAGAGATTTTAAAAATTTTATCCCAAACGGAGAAACTTGAAACACATTTTCCGCAAAAACCTTCCTTCTCGGGGACATCAACTTTTCCTTGGGAAGATGCATATTACACAATGGCTAGGACAAACTAACAAAATTAATTTTGCATGAGTAAAACCAGTAACTGGTGGCTGATTTATATAAATATAACATCTTCACCGAGGGAGGACCAGCCAGATGGCCAACTTTAATAATTAGGATTCAGTAAATGTCAATTCATCCTGGAACCACATAGAGTTACAAATTTATAGGGGATGGCAGCCCTCAGAAGCGAGCTGCAACTGTGACATGAAGGTCTATCTTTTTTAAGCATATTGGTGTGAAATTTTATATTGGAAGCATCTCCGATATACTTATCAATGGTTTTCAAACCTGCTTCATCGGAAACTGGGACCAATTATAGATAATAATTGGACAATTTTTATGCTATGATAAATGTCTAATATACTGCATTTAAATAAATTAAAAAGTTTAACTAACGAAATTGCTAGCAACGAAACGGAATGACAAGGGCAAAAATTTATGTTAATACTTATTTATTGATACTAAAAATTACTGACTAAAATTACATTGTAATTTCGATCAGCAAGGCTAAATTTATTTATTGATTCTAGTAAAGTAATGTATTCGCAGAGTATAGAATAATTTAGATCGTGTCCATGGCAACCGATTAAAACCGTATCAAAAATCGCAGAAAAAATCGTAGTAATTCACAAAAAATATATCTAAAAAAGTCTCACCACCCAAGGGTGTCACAAAAAAAATTCCCTAACCTGAAAAAAAAGTTATAAATTGAACACCTCCTCCAGTTCCATTCCTGGAGGTAATGCTCCCAAGACCGCGGACACATTCCCGCGTTGAACGGCGACACTAATACGTTGAATGAGGAAGGCCTTGGCACGACCTTCCCCAGTAGCTGAGGCGATCCTTTCGCCGATGGCCTCGATGAGGCGAAGTCCTTCCCCGGCCCACACCCCGGTGGTCTCTATGGCAACGGGAATGAAGAGGAAACGGTCGAGGAGGAAGGCGTAGTACTTCTTCTTCCGTTCCTGCGCGGTTTCGGCGGCGGCTCCCGGACGAGTTGAGGTTGAGGGTAGATAGGAAGGGTCAAAAGTGTCCACACACGTGAAGTCCCAAACCAGGGATCTTCCACGCGCCCATGGGACCATCGTGAGTCCATCCGGTCGCTTCCCGTCGGAACTTGCACATCCGGGGGGCTCCAGGATGCAGGGAACTTCTGCGGACCTGAGGGCACGGGCAATCACGTCGTTGGCGGCGGCATGTCGAGAGTGGCGGCCCGCACTTTTCCGGCATTTCAGGCCGTGGTAGCCTTTGGCGGTGACTTGTTGGCCGCAGGGGCATCTATGGGGAATGCAGATGTCACAGCCAAGGCGGAGAGCGGACGCGATCCGGAAGGTTTCGCTCTACACACCTTATTTTATACAAATTATGTGCTTAATGATTTTACCCAAAAAGTGCGTAGGTTAGGCTACGTTGTATTTTATTTTATTAACGTCACATCATACTCCTCAGACTATGTAGAACGCAGTAAGGGCTACGTTTTTTATGATAACTTACTCTACTTTTTCGTAAAAATAATCAAGTTCTTAAATATTAGAATAAAAAGATATCCGTGCTAAAAATAAATCTTATTTGCTTGAACCTAGGCCAGCGTTTGAGAAAAAGTTAGCGAATATGGTTTGACTCACTAGTAAGAGTCGAGGGACATCTAGAATTTCAAAAATTAAAAAAAGCTACAAGTAGTTCACTTTGATACCAAATGTAGTCACATAGTTGCCACTTACAATTTTTGTTGTTTGTGCTGAGGATGAGAGGGATCGCACTTGTAAATTCTGAATCTTAACGCCCCCCGCACGCAAAAACACGGTGCCTGTTCTACCCATCCAAAATTTCTAAAATCGCAGCACCAAATTTACACCAGAAATCCACTTTTAATCGGATTAAAAAAATATATAAAAGATTTCCTGAATTTGGGTATGTCTCGAACAAATTTGAACGGATTTGAAATTTCAGCAAGTTTGGGATTGCAGTTGGATGTGATAAATAACTATCGGTGGCGCTAAGAAAAGTTTTTTTGAAAACCTTGTTAAACTAAAAGTTGTTAGGTTTGTTTGTATGCCACGATTTTAAGGATTTTTAAGCCTGCGAGTCAGTATGGCCCATATTTCAGTTAACTACGTTAAGTTTGTATTACACTCATATAATTATATGGTTTATGCTTTATAATTATAACGTTTTTTCGATAAGATGCACGGAAAAAACGGTCTATTTTTTACATAAACCATTGAACAGAGTAGGGGAATGAGAAGGGGAATTTACAAGTGCGTAAGCTAACCTCTTACGTTGAATTTGTGCGCCCTTGGTTATATTTATTGATGTGTAGTAATTTGATGCAAATTTGTTACAGCTTAATTTTATGTTTAAAATATTACTCACATCTTCTCCTTTAGCATCGCATGGTATGGACCACAATGCCAAATGACATTGGAGAAGCAGAACTATCCAAGTATTTTTCTTCATTGCGTATGGTTTGTCTTGTCGGTTGCAAAGTTAAGAACTGAACATAATATGCATTTTGGTTCGCTTAAATACCCGAAGGTTGGACATTCTGTTAAGGTGATGATCATTTTGATTTAATCGGTTCCAATAATTGTTCCAATCACTCAGCCAAACAGATAAGAAAAATTTCAGTGAAATTTTATTTTTGTTCAATTTTCACTGAATTTGTGGCCAATTGAAATTAATTGAATTTTCTTGCGAAAGTCAAATGATGGTTACGTATGGGGGTCGATACTGAGAATTCGTTAAAAATTTCAAGTGGAAATACGTATGTATGTACTTTACCCACTTATAACTTGACTGTTGAAGTTGAGTTGACGTTGTATGTAGGCCAAGTTTAACTTGAATGGATCCAGAAAAACAACGCTCTTCAGATATCATGACCTGATGAATTAGTAATCACCTACATAAATCTTGGAATTCTGTTTATCAGAGAATCTTGTGGCACCGTTGTCAATTAATTGTGTTGTTTATCAACTTGAAATCAAGTTGCCTAATAATTGTCGATGCCAAAGTATTGCGAAATGCTTGAAATGTATTGTTAAGCTTTTACAGAAATTTGAAGTTTGATTGGGCAATAAGTTTTGACAAGTATACGTTAAAGGTTGACGTAGTTCAGGTGGAATTTAACGATTTTATATACACGACTACTTCATAATAATATGGTTTTTTGACCTGCTATTAATAATTGAAAAGTGGAAACGATGGTCCTAGATGTTGTTATTTAAAAGTACTATCTGTAGATAGATAGATTTATTACAATATGACACCCCATAAATGGGTTATTACATCATAAGGATCATACAAAGCTAATATTCAAGCATATTATTAAATTCATATGTATCAATTAATTCAAATATTTGTCGCATTCTGTCACATTTTTGAATATTATTATTAAAGGACATAACTTGCTTCTTAAAAACATTTAGACTTACTTCATTTACATTATATTTTATTGACTCAGGAAGGAGAAATGATGTAGAAATGATGAATGTGCCAATACTGGTGGTTTACTATGCAGTGTGTAAATTTGAATGATAATGCAAAAAATGAATTTTGAAGTGTACAGTAAATGTATAAAAATATTATTTTTAATTTTTTACATGCTGTACTTCACAATTTATAAAAAGGATGTAAAAATTCAAAAAAATAATTTTAAATCACATATTAAACAGATTAAGGAAGCTAATCCCTTAACTAATTTTCATTTTTGTAATTAAAAACCCATCAAATTGTGTAAATTAAAAATACTGAAACATCGTTGATATTCTAGTCTTCGTATAAGCCTCGTATTTTCTTGGTAATTAAACAAATAAACCCATTTAATGACCAATGTTGCACAAGAGCAAGTAATATTGATGACGATACCTGAGCACAGGTAATGCATTTGATAATATCTCTGATCTTAAATAAACCCTGCATCAGTTTTACTCATACGAACGTAGTTGAAGTCAAGTATAGGAAAAATCCTTCAACTTTACCAGCAGTCAAGGCTGATTAATGCAACAAGTGGGTCAAAATTCAATGAAATTTAGAACCACACGTATGCTGATTTGGTTGATTTATCTGGAATTGTAATATCTCCAGTGCTTCAATCGCAGTACGAGATACTTTTCTGGATGCGAACGGCACAACCTTACTTTATACACAGGTCAATATTCCACCACATTTTGAACCACATAGACTTTGATTCAGAAGTCCTGTTAAATACGAACAATTAGGCAACTTGGTACCTATTAAAAAATAACACCTTTGCATTAACTATGGATGCCTTTTGCGGATCAACGTTCTGGGTAACAACATACTTAAATGTTAGGACTGATTTCTACCACAATAATTAGCGGTTATATTTACATAATATTTTACAGAATACAAACCTAACGTGGCACGCAACGTCACCCTTCTTCACGTTCTGTTTTGAAGAGACTATCATTTTATCCATTCCTTTAATATGCATACTAATATTTGGACTTATTACAATTATTAAGACGCGCCAGGATGAAAATGCAGCTAGAAAAAAAATTAGATTCGGTTGTACAACTTGTATTCAAATTGGAATATTCACAGCTCTTTTGACGACATCGATATCCTCAGTATTTCAGGAGGAGGAAACAATTTCTGAAATGAGAATCTTATACGTTTCAACAACTATCCGGATTTTGAGCTTTGTAGGATAAAAGTGTCTAAAATAATGTATGTCTTTCACTATAATTTTCTATAAACTTTGCAGACGTTGGCATTTTGCTTAATGGTACGCCTACAACGGGAAGATATAAAATTCTCCTGGATTCAGATATTATTTTGGACTCTGTCCCTTATCGTGGAAGGAATTCTTTTAAGAAGTGCCGTAATTAAATGGGATGAAGTTCAAGACTCGATTATTAGAAAAGCATACTTGGTTAGGTACATGGTATTTCCATTAGTAGCGGTAGAAAATGCAATACAGCTATTGATGGGATTACGCAACTTCTGGGAGTCAAGGAAAGTATGGAATCTTACAAAATTAAAATTTTAGTAGGAAGTACAATTTGTAAAATTTCTAATAGCTAAGCCAAGAAAAGACAATGGACAATTTAGCCCAAGATCCGACAATATTTAATTTTTGGATGGATACAATATTTTGGAAATCCTTCCAGAAAAAGTCACTTCAATTGAAACCATTTGACTTAAAAGAAGCCTACTCTTATGCTAACGGGCATTTGAGTCAAACAAGTATTAATGGTCCTGAAAGGTGCTATAAATATTCATCAACATGCAATTGCATCAATGCCTAATACATAATATGACTCAATTTTAGCACGTCATGTAACGCCATTAATTTACTTTTTGCCTCGTTTGGCAAGCAATTCGCTATATCAGGACTGCAAAGAATTTGTCAAGAACTATTGGCATTTGCTGCCCCAGAAATTTTAAGGTATCCCAAATAACTTACTAAAAAAGGAAAACGCTTAAAAATAAGTATTACATATTTTCATTACCATTATCCGAACTAGGATAATGGTCACTCATTTTACCTACACGATGAACAAAACTACGTGGAAGGATTACTTTTACGTCACCGCCTTAATCACATCCCTGATAGCGAGGAACATTTTAGGATTATTTTACTGGAAAAATGTGACCGCAATATCTATTAAGTGCAGGTCAATGCTTCATTCTATCATAATTCAGAAAGCTTTAAGAATTTCCAATATAGAATCTATAGGTATACTTGCAAGATAAAACAAAATTTTTAAACTCAACATATTCGATACGCTGTGAAATATGACAAATTCCAAATTGTTTTTAGACACGACCAGAAGCACTTTATTAAATATAATAGGGGCCGACTCTCAAAAAATTTGTGACTTAATTCCCCTTCTCCACACGTTATGGATTGCTCCAATTCAAACAATTGTTGCCACATATTTGCTCTACAACCTGCTTGGATACCCCGCATTCGCTGCTTTATCCACAATTCTCATGCTGATTTTATTAACCACATTTTTAATGAGACAACTCAAAGAGATACAAACCGACCAAATGAAAGGGAAGGATTCCAGAGTAAAAATTGTTTCAGAAACGATCCAAAACCTAAAAGTAAAATTTTTGTAACATGTATAAATTTCCTCTAGTTTGTGTTTATATAAATTTACAACACCGTGAATTTTTAATCAAACTACATAATTACGTATTTACTCGTAGACTATCAAACTGCATGCGTGGAATGAAGCTTTCCTAAAGAAAATAGGACTAGCCCGACAATTAGAGGTGGACTCATTATGGCGTTCTTTGACAAGATTAGGCTGCATGGTTACCTCATTCACCGTAGCACCCGTCATCGTATTGCTGGTCGTACTGGTCATGAAATCTAGTCTGGATGGGGAGTCAATCAATGCAGGGATAATGTTTGCGGCGTTATCAATCATTAATATTATTACAGTACCATTATTAACGTAAGATATTGATTTTTATCTGACATATTTAGGAAACTTTATGAATGTGTTCTGAATGTCTATCTTTTTAAACTCACAGCGTACCAGCTCTTGCCATGTTGTTGTCTCAAACTTCTGTGGGTATAAAGAGGATTAACAAGTTTCTAAATTTAGAAGAATTTCAAACACAAAAGAGTTATGTGAAGTTCGATAAAATTACGAATGGTGAAACAATATAAGGAAAGATAATTTTAAGGTACATATTTAAATTAAAGTATCCTTAAGCATGCATTTCTGTAGATGACACATCTATAAAACTTGAGAATGCATACCTCTCCTGGGACAGTAAAAAATCCACGTTAAAAAATCTACATTTTTCCATCCCACCTGGATCTCTTGTCGCGATAGGTGTAAATTTTTGTCTTCTTAATTGATAATAAGAAATACTTATATATCATGGCAATTATACAGTTGGTGAATCTGGATCTGGAAAATCATCCTTGTTACAAGCAATGTTAGGAAATATGTTCATTACTAAGGGCAAGATCGATGTCAATGTGTGCATTTAAAATTTAGTGATGAGCCTTTCATTATACAAATTGAAGAATATTTTTTAACAATTTCTAGGGGAAAATTGCATACGTTCCTGAATCCACATGGACCAGGAAGACCACCATCAAAGAAAACATTTTACTCCACAACCCCTTCAATAAGCAGACGTATCTCGACGTAATAAATGCATGCGAACTTGACACTGACTTATCTTGCTTGCCAATGCGTGACGATACACAAATCCTAGATAACGGGTCCAACCTATCGGGTGGTCAGCGGCAGAGAATTTCTCTCGGTCGTGCAGCTTACTCTGGGTCAGACATCTACCTCATGGATCAGCCCATGAGTGCCTTAGATGGAAAAACGGCTAATAAAGTTTACACGAAATTACTAAGTTTGAATGGATTATTAAAGGAGAAAACGCGCATAGTTGCGACCGACTATAGCGAATTGATTGCAGATGCAGATATTGTACTACAATTAGATGACGGAGAAGTAAAGTATTTCGGACCTAATCGTACCATTTATAAGGAGCGGACTCGATCCAAATTTTGTGAAGATGATGAGACAGATATTTTGTCAAGTTATGATGTACATCCTCAATGTAACGATAATAGTGAGTTATCAGAATCTGTCAAGCCGACAGAGGATCGGCCACCCGTTAAGAAATCACTTTATGTGTATGAAGGGGGAGTAACAAGGTTGACCATGGGGATAACTTTGGTTATTTGTTCAGTTGGTAATCCTACTAAATATTTAAAGACTTTAGTGTTTGTATGTGTCTAATTTTAGAGAAGCCCTGTTGGTCTAGTGAGTAGAATGGTAGTCTTCTGTCGCCACGCAGAGCTACCAGTTCGATCCTAGCCAGGGAAGCTTCTTTAAGGACCATGGCTCCATTTTTACTACATATTACGGATTAGTAAGGAAACGACGGGAAATGTGGTTATAAAATATGAGACAGAGGTCGTCTGCCTTCCCTTCCCGAACTCTCGTTAGTCTCATTCTGGCAGAGGCAGAGACAAGATGTTCACTTACACTAATGTTTTTGAGTTTCGCGTGAATAATGCGACAAGGCATAATTTAGTCACCTATGGTGTTAAAAATTGCTTGATTTTTTTCAGGAAATTTCCTATTTCTCAGCCAAAAAATGGAATTTGGTGAAATTTTTTTTTGCACACAAAAGATTGATTGTATTACCATTCAAAATTATCTAGTAGAGGTCAATAATTTATTTGGAGGGAAATATTATGGAGCTCAAAGATCATCAAGTTTTGCTGACACATTTCCGGCTTCATAATTTTTCCCCCCAAATAAATTATTGGCCTCTACTAGATAATTTTGGATGGTAATACAATCAATCTTTTGTGTGCAAAAAAAATTCACCAAATTCCATTTTTTGGCTGAGAAATAGGAAATTTCCTGAAAAAAATCAAGGAATAAGAATAATATTGCGAGGCATGGTGAGATAGAGGGAGTTTTTTTGGAGCTTTCCTCTTTAATGCCTGCTTGGCTCTGTGTTAGTACGGGGCAGGTGCTCTCTACGGCTGCCTGTATGGGACAGGCCTAAGCCGTGAAAAAATTCCACTACTCTGCTCCACTACTCGAACAGCTGTGTTCTGGGCTCTGTGCAGAGAAGTGATAGAGTGTCCACATAGAGCACCCAGTCTCTATGGGATGAGTCCAAATCTCAGTATAGAGCCTAGGACGACGTCACCTGTGGAAGATCAAGCAATTGAACAGGGGATAAAGACGGAAAAAAGGATTTTATTTTTTTTATTGAAATTTGGCTTACATATTTATTCCCCAATTTAGCCACTTATACATTTTCCAATGTCTGGCTATCTATGTGGAGTGGGCAGGATGACTACACTCAGATAAAATCTGCAACAAACAACATAACAATTTATGGATCGGTAGGATTAGTTCAAGGTAATCATTTATAGATAAGAAATATTGGCCTGATTAAAAGTCAATATTTTCAAGTTTTTATAAATTTGATCTTGCAGTCATTTTATTACTTCTGGGATGCCTATTTATGTACAATTTCTCGCTAAATGCATCACGAAACTTGCATGAAATCCTCCTCCTAAAAATATTAAACGGACGGATACATTTCCTAAATAAAATTGGTGCAGGATCACTCTTAAACGTGGTGACCAAAGATGTCGATATTTTGGAGTCAAGTTTTCCCCAAAATTTGCAAGGAACCGTGCTTAACTTTCTTCTCCTTTTAAGCGCAATCTTCACGACTTGTTACGCAACCCCGATATTTCTCGTGTTTGTGGCACCACTTGCCCTTATTATTATTTCCTTCAGGTACAAAATATTTACGAATTTAGTAAGGATTATGCATTTTTAGTACGTATTTTTCCCTGCAGAGATTTTATGTCATCACATCCACAAACTTGAGGAGAAACGAATCATTGACTAGAACCCCACTTTATAGCCTAGTTCTGGGAACGCTATCGGGATTGTGTTCCATTAAAGCGTTTGGAATTGAAAATGAAACAATGAGAGAGATTCAGGAAGCTTTATTAGAAAATAATAAGGCTTACTTTTTATATATGGCTGGGACATTGTAAGTTTCAAGAATATTGTATACATACATATATTGTAGTTAAATGTGGTTCACTTTTGACCAGGTGGATTAAAGCAAGGCTAGACATTCTGGGGACCTTAATAGTTTTGGGAACTTGTATTTTTGCCATCATTTCAAGTCCGGCTGTCGTCGCATTATCTTTATCTTCTGCTCTGCAGATAACTCAGTTGTTAAATTATTTTGTAAAATTAACCAGCGAATTCGAATCGAATATTGTAGCTGTGGAGAGGGTTGTAAATATGACGTTAATTCCGCCAAACCAAAATTCCTTGTTTTGGATGAAGTAACGGCAAATTGCGATGAAAATATGGAAGTTCTGATCCAAAAAATTGTCAGTGAACAGTTTAAGGATTCAACCGTCTTAATTGTGGCACACCGTATTAAAACCTTACTCGACTGTGACAGGTTTGTGGCACATTTTCATATAACGATGTGAAGTAATGATCTATATTTTCTTTAAAGGATTATGGTCCTAGATGTTGGTCGAATTAAAGAGTTTGACACGATAAGTAACTTGCTAAATTTAAAATCCGATTTTTATGAAATGGTAAAATCTGACGAATTATTTACAAGAGATTTATAGTAAAGAAGGAGGAAAACAATAAATTAGGAGTGAAATTTATTTATTACTGCATATGTACTACTTTCATGTACACTCTTAAAAAATCAATACCAAGCTGGTTGTTTCTGGTGGCGTAACCATTCTAGTAATGAGTGAATACTAATGGGTATTAAAAGCTTACCACTGCCGTATTATTCCTGTCAAATGCGGTATTGGATTAGTGCGATGCAGTAATATAAAGTCCGCCCAGTCCGGGATGAGGAAATTTATGGTTTTCGTCTCGTACGGGGGATTAGTACACTGGTAAACAATAGGAGAGTTAAGTGGGAAAATTAAATTTTAAGGGTTTACAAAAGTTTAATTTGCCAATATTTTTTTAGTAAATTTGATATTTGCAAATTTTTAACGTTTAACGTATTAGACTAATACGTTAAACGTTAAAAATCCACACTGTAAGAAACTGGGTATTGATATATGACTCTACCGCGGAGGTATTGATATGGTATTAGATCAATACTACATGGTTTAAAAACCAATACCAGGTAGTATTAAAACTAATTCTGCAGAGTATTATTTCAATACCAAATTTATACCAACACAGTAAACATTTCAATACCAACGCGGTAGAGTCATATATCTATACCAACGGTATTAAATCAATACCCAGTTTCTAAGAGTGCAGAAACTAATACTATTAGTTTCCGGATTCGGATTTTTCAATTTATCTAAATTTATCAATCGTCTAGCACGTTTACAATTTCTAGTATATATTTTATAGTCCTTAAGAGTCTTTTTCTCTAATTTTTAAAATACTTTGCTCATTATTTTTTTACAATATTGATATCTAGAAATTTCAATAATTAAGATTTCTTTACGACACCTTTTCTACCGATGCTAAGCGTTTTGTAACATTTCCGTACAGTGATCTCAACTCTGTGGCATCTTCCCTGGTACGCGTTCGATCTCCGGATGCGATAGCCGTGTCATTTTCATGGGTCTGAATTTTATTTAAATTTATTACACATACTAATTAACATAAGTATAAAATGTAAACTTACGGCTTCTAAAAATTTGAAATTCTCCGCCATAACTTGCTGTTGAAAGGACAAAATTTCCGAACTTTTCCACAGTTCGGAAACATCCTTTTCCGCATTGGCAAGACGACCTTTCAGTTTAGAAAGTTCGCTCGTGTTTGGTTCGTGGCCTTGCTGTAGAGAATTTTTTGAGGGTTAATAATATTTTAAAATATTTGTAAATTGTTACCGTAGGTGTGTTAAAGAGAGATAGCGGGGTAACAATTTAGCACCATATTGTAAATAAAATTTGCGCGAAATTCAAACCAACGATTCCGCATTTTTGGTGGTTTTGCTCAATTAGAAATTGGAATAAATTTGAATCTCGCACAAATTGTTGTTCATGCTAATTTATCCCACTCGATAACAATTTAGTACAAAATTATTTGAAACGTAATGTCAAAAAATATTACTGAATATAAACTTAGCACCATATAGCAAATTAAATTTCCGGGAAATTTAAAACGAGTTTAGCAAATTTGTGTCTTGTTTAATTAGAAAAGTAATCAATTTGAATTTCGCGCAATTTCTGGTTTACGCTGATTTATCACCCATTCGGTAACAATTTAGAAGAATTCTTTAAACTCTAATTTTGAAGATTTTCCTCCTACCGAGACTTCCATGTCCATCAAGAGTTCCACGTTGGATAACCGATTGTCCAAATTTCTCCAGGTTTTCGTCACATTTTCAATTTTATCCTTACTCGCGGCAAAATCAGTGGACAAGGTTTGTAGCTCGTTTCCATGCACCTGGAAATATATTTGAGAGTGTAAATACTATTCGTATGATAATTACATCTTAAGGAATGTTGCGATTTAAAGGGCTTGGTACTGAAAAAGCCCAGTAATATTTATTTGTGAGCAACACCCTTATGTTTTATGAAATGCTTTTGTTTACCAAAATTAAGTTGCAATGTCCTAGGTAGTTATTTAACCACACAGAACTGGTAATAGTGTTAAAGTTTGGTAATAAATTTACCATTCTATGCCAACGATACTGCTCTTCAAACATGAATGACAAATCTAATAAGACTTTATTTAGTTAAATGCTACTTCATAACAATTAAGGTGTCGAACTTCGTCTAACTAATGGTTACACGAAAATTGCCTCGTAACATGTCTTGGATTAAAATAATTTTTTTTCTTAAATTTTTGCAACTTTAAAAAAACCGCTTAATAGCTCTAATCAAGCTCCATCGAATATCTTTAAATTCTATAAATTCTGGCAGAGTTTAGTCTGCATGACCGCGTTAAAAAATCCTACTTGAAAAATATTGATAGATTTTCAAAAATTTTTGGATTTCTTACCAAATTGATGTTATCCACGCTGTTGACAACTTGTTCCAATTCGGCGATAAATTTCTTATTTGTTTTCCACAAATTGACATAATTTTCCTCCAAGCCGTTCAACCTGTCTTTGATGTTCCATAATTCTTCGCGAATTTTGACTTGTTCCGCCTGTAAAAATAAAGATTTTAATTGTCAAAAATATATTTTTTAATTGTAAAAAATTTTTGGACTCTTTTTTAAACACGATTAAAAGGTAGGATAACTTACATCGGTAATTTCGAACTGTTGAACAACCTTGTTAAGGCGTTCTTCTGAGCGCGCGACTTCCAAAAATGTGTCCTCAGTTTCATTTCGTAACGATGATAAGCCCTCGGCCAGAGTTTCGTTGTCTTTTTTATGTTCCTAAAAAACAAAGTTTCCAAACGGTTTGAATATTTTCATGGACAGATACAAAATTAACCATCTGTTCTACAAAATTTAGAGTAAACGATTTTTAAAACATTAAGATTTGGCATCTATATATTACAATTATTTTAAAAATCTTTTAATTTCCTTCAAATTTTAGGGGATAAATCGGACTTGTTTCAATCATGTCTAAATCATCTCCTCTTGCCGCCATTAGAGATTGCGCGGTAGGTTCAAACAAAGATGTCGTTGATGTGGACGACCAGGAATCCATTTTTCCAGCGATGTGCTCATGCGCCAAGTTGTGCGCCATATTTTGATCTTGTAACGATTCATCGAGACGTTTCAATTTGTCGTCAACGTATTTTGAAAGATCGCCAAGTTCGCGTTGGAAAATTTCGGACTCGTTTTTCACAGTGGTTTGGGTAGACTTGAGATTCTGTGTAATAGAATAAAACTTGTAGTTTTTTATAAAATTTGTAATTAGTACTGTGAAGTTGGTAATGTCGAATAATTTTTTTTAGCAATTTGAATTAAATTCGCGATATTTGACGATATGTCAGATATTGACGTCGATTATGCCATATAACTAAAAGTACTTTGTCAAGTTAAAGAAAGATGGATGGGATGCCATATTTTTGGACAATATTAAATTTTTACAGTAATATTTTGCGGAAATTTACGTGCAGTTTGTAAATTTGGTAAAAATCTTTAAAGCTAAAACTGAAAATTGTTTGTTGTAAATTTTACAACAAAAACAATATTACAAATTGTATCCTAAAGCATCCTTAAAAATCGGCAGACTATTCCTAAATTTTATTTTTTGCGTCATAAAACGAACGAAATTCGAATAAATTAAATAATTTACCAGTTCCAACTGTTCTACGCGTTTGACCAAAAGTAAACTATCTTGGCCGGCCCTCTCCTGAAAATTGTTATCTTTTTCACCGTCCCCATGATTGTTTTGTTCTTCTAAAGTGTCCCGCAATTTGTCCATTTCCGCGTCCAAATTTTTTCCCAACTGGTCCAACTTGCCTTTCTCTTTTTTCTGTATTTCCGCCAACGCTTTGACCATTTCCGCTAAAACTTTGGACTCTTTGTCGAAATCTGATTTGAACCCGACCAATTTGCCGGAAAGGGTTTCCATCCAGCGTTTGTGTTCTTGCCCAGCGGTGATTTGTGCCTGGAGGGAAATTCAAATTTCTTAATTCAAAATATAAGAAAATGCATTTACTACTTAGAGATTTGGAGAGAAATAATATTATTACAATCTCTTCAATTATCATTTCATTTACAAAATAATTTAAGAGTTTTCTGGACGTTAGTATTTACCCAAATATTTAGAGGATAAAAAAAAGCGACTCCAGTGTGGTAATAATTTATTACCACGTTATTTATTATGCATGAGAAATAATTTCTATTGGATTTTACCGAAACGAGGAAAAGTTGCATGTATGTTCATGAATTCAATTTTTGCGAAGTTTGCAAAGAAATTAGAGATTTTGGGGTAAAAATAGAAGTAAAGCGTGAAACAAAATAATTGATGACATGAATAAATTACCTGAAGTAATTCCTGGTCCGTCTTTTTTAAATTTTTAATCCCTGCTTCCCCCTTAGTGTCGATGTCTTTAAGTTTCTTTCCAATTTCCTTGAAAATGAAAAAAAACGTGTAAAATTTGAGCAGGAACACAATTCATATATATTTTTCAATGATTTTGTTCTACAAAAATAAATGGTCCACATCTAATACTAGAAGAATAATTTTTTCATCAAGCTAAATAATTGGCATTTTAAAAACACAAATACTACGATGGTAGACATGAATTGTTTAATGCAACGCTGAAATTAAAATTCATACAGATTGTGTGGATGAACGAAAAATGATAACCTCATATTATAAGCAAGCTCAAACTAATCTAAACAGTTGTAACAAATATCGCTATTTTATCAAAACACCATTTTCGGTATCATATCATAGCATTGTAGAAAAAAATATGTTTCAATTTAAGTAAAGAAATCGCATGCAAGAAAAATGTTACCGGATTTTTCTAATTGTGCAATTAATCTAATTGTCAATGACAGATGAAATGATTAGTATGACAGAAGATCCAACTTGAATTTTTGTAAGGATTTTTCTTTGGTATGAATATCTTTGCAAAACTGTGTCTGAAATTCCAACCGTTTAAGTGGAAACTTTAAGTAAACGAAATGTTTTGCCTTCTTAGATTTATAAAAAAACTTAAGAAAATTACTACCGGTAATATTGATGAAATCTATCTAATCTATAAAATTAATTTGTTTGTAAACACTTTGAAAATTGATTCTTATCCCGAACCCTATATAGAGTAAATTTTTGTCGCATTCAGCCCTTATCTGTTGAATAATTTCATATTCAATTTTGAGAGGTGAAAATGCGATCTGGAAATATGTCCGGTTTAGAAAAAATAACTTGATATTTTCAATATTTTTTGTTTTGGCAACAATTCCAATTTTGAAAATGTTTTAATGTGAAAATGTGAAAAACTAAATACGTTAGGAGATGGAAAAACTAAGACATCTGTGGTACGTAAAACTATTAAAATATTTCTAAACATACTTTAAACCGTCCAAACCGGACATCACATAATTGTTTTATTTTAATGTATTTAAAATCCATCTCCAAAGTTGTTAAATGCTTGTAACAAAAAAAAGATAGTCTGAAATGCGAATTCTTATTGAATACTTTCAATAAAATGTATCACTAAAATTTCATTTTCAGGAATTAATAGCGACTTTGTTTAATACTATTTCCAAGAAAGTTTTAAAAGTATTAAAAATCCATTGTTAATCTACATAGTAAATATGTAGCTCAGGAGGTTATTAGATCATAATTTTTATTCACCGTTTGCATCCGGATTATTCCTTCTTCAACCAAGACAAACTTTTTGTCCAGTTTTAAGCTCAGTTCGTCCTGATCGGAGGAGAGTTTGTTGAATCTTGTCGATAAAATGTTGAACCCTTTAGAAATTACTTGGGTATTTTGACGCATAACGTCAACATTTTTGGTTAACGAGGTCACAAGGTCTTGGAGCTTTTGGATCTGGTAAAAATGGTAAAAAGATTTAAAAATTATATAAATTTTTGTAATCAAAGCTCTTCCTAATTTTTTGTTGATTAATTATAATGAAAATTCTTGTGGATAAGATTAATCCGGAAATTATGGAGTTTATATCTAATAAAATTGCACGTGCAAATTTTTCTATTTTCCATTTTTCAAATTTTACCTTTAAATCTACCGTGCCTGGGGCTCCGTCATCAATTTCGTCATCATTTTCATCTTTATGATCACTCCGATTTTTTGTGGGAATTTTTGCCTTTGTGTTTTTTGGAGTTGTTTTTTCGTCTGTTTTTGCGTTTTAGATTTTCCCGAGATTTTTCTTCAGAAGAATCCTCTTCGTTTTCGTCATCCGTGTCAGGAACGTAGAGACCGATTCGATTTACCTGAGATAAATTGGAAACAATTTAATGAAATTAGCAGTGATAGCAAAATTAGTGTAAATGTGGACGTTGATAATTATTGTTTACGGCGGAGTAGGAAATTTTACAATTTTTGAAATGATTTAATGGGTAAAATTTTTCGAGTGGTAAACGCGTTCTAAGTATAGTAATTTTTTTGAAATGGTCATACTCATTGGAAGAAACTACCATTTGGGAGAATTAAATAAGTTAAATAAGAGACACAGCAACAATAATGTTCTTTATTTCGCTGTATTCTCTGTCCATTACGGTATCGTTTGCATAATTAAATAACACCCGCATATCTCACAGCCGAAATTGGGCAAAGAGTATTAAGTATATTATTCTAAAAAATTATACTAGACTGTAAAATGTACCAATAAAAATAATACAAGCTAAATGTTTTCAATATAAAACTATTAAAAACATGGAATATAAAATATTTACTTTCCCACACATGAACAATTAAAACATCACCTATTAAGTTATTTTATCCCTAAATTTTATCCCTACAATTGGAATTTTAGGCAGTTCCGTCAATATCTTCCGAGTCTAATTTTATAAAGAGTTAGTATGACTTTAGCGTTAAATCATGATATCAGACGAATAATATTAAATTCCGTTTTGCGATTTTCTGCTGGTGTTAATTATGTTAATTAGGGGTCTGCCTGCCTGTTATGAATAAGGAATATCTCCGAATCTGTGATTAATAAAGAAAATTAGGCTGGATGATGTGTAATTCGAGTTGGCATTGTAATGTTTTATAGCACACAGCACTAATTTTTGCGGGAACGGGTACAGAATATACTGGGAATCTATCTATTTATTATCTTAATCCAATACATTTTTATAAATGTGGCATGATTGTCGGCGTAATTAAGCAACTTTGGTAACTAATTGTATCAGACGATACCAATATTTTGGTGATTTATGCATACATCCTGTTTAGAAATTTGTGACGAGTAGATATTATGTAAATATTTACCGTTAAAAAATTTTGATCCTTTGAGTTTATACTAATTGTAATTTATAAAGTTTGCTATTGAGATTTATAAATTTTCTAAAGTTATATCAATTTACGCAGTTTTTGTTATAATTTCACCCAATTTTTCCATTTGAAAATTTGTATTATATTTTTATAGGATCAATAATTTGGTAAGACGATTAGGACATTTGTGGTACTGAAAATAGTTTTGTTTACATGTTAATTCTAAATTAGTTACTAAGCTGGAAATAATTCTGTAACGTTGTGAAACCAATATTTAAAAAACCTCTAGTACAGCTTTGCGGAGCCCGACCCAGGGATTACCACATAAGGGTTGACAATATGTGTGAATTGACTTCCCGAGTAGAAATCGTTATGTCGAATTCTGCAGGATTCGACATAACCTCTGTGCATATTGTACTCTGCATAAAATAGTCTGCATAATCCTGCAGAAAATTTTGGGGCAATGATGTCGAAAGTTCCATGCAGAAAATTGCCTGCATAATTCTGCAGATGGGCTTTGTCGTCAAAAGTAATAAAATAATATACATAAGTCTGCAGAAACTTTTACTCGGGTGGATTATGCATAATTATGAAGTTGTAATGTTTTATTTTATATGGGGAAAAGATGACATTTGTGACAATCAGAAGCTAATAATAGTGCCAGAAATTTATTCAAGTTCAATCGTATTAACCATCGCTGTCACAATAGATAACTTCGAGTTTGCATCAAACTGGCACAGATATTTAGTGTTTTGAACCATATTTGACGGAAAAACCTTAATACAATCAGAAATTTCTATTACCTTGTAAGATAAGGATGACAATTTGTGGTCAATGCAACTTATCTTTTTCACAAATAGAACACCGTGAGGAGCATCCTTTACACAAATTAGTCGTGAAATAACATATAAATTTGAATTAATTTTGACTATTGAGTTAACCCGTTTAGTCGTATCTCTGTCACATGAACTAAATATTTTGCCGAATATTACACATGAACTAAAACAAAAACCATCACTTTCGTACAATTGCAATTTGCTGAGCTGTTTTTTCTCGTAGCTACTAAATACATACAATTTTTTAGGACCTAAAAATGTGCATGATCCTGACTTAAAGAACTTGGTGTAGAAACTCTTGTTTCCTGTTTGCGATAAAAAGAAAAATTCTGCCAGCTCATTGTTAAAAGATACCTGACCAAGGGCAAACATTTTTTGGCTTGTAAGCATCTTTTTAGCTATCTGCATTCCAATGTGTGCATTTCCTGACAAACTGCTACTTAATACACCATTATAGTTCTCAAATTGGAACAAAGAATATGCCCAGAGGGGGCCCCAGTTTTTGACGCAGTCACCGGCGTGCGTAAGCAAATGGATATTAAATGTGCAATAAGACAATCCATATAAATCAGGCACAAAACAAAACAAAACATTTTGAGCAACTTTTGTGCCATCTCTACATCGGAAATATTGATGGCGTCCCGGCACAAGATACATATAGCTGTCGTAAACTTTGAAAAATGTTTCAAGTAGCAATCTTGAAGTATTCCTTTAAGAAGTGTTACTGCAAGCACCATCCAGACTTTCCACTCATGCGCTTTCCAATAACTGATATCCTTGACTTCTCGTACAACACGCTGACATTCTACGGGCACTTTACAGCGATTAAGCCTTAGATTAATTTCAGCTTCCTTGTTGCCAATGTAAAATTGTTTATCACGATTTTTGGTATCAAGCCAGGCACAAGTTAGCGTTTTTACAACTCCTAGTAGGCATGTATGCATGTAGTCAAAAACTAATCCGTCTATGATGTCGAATTTTGGAAGAAGAATCAGACTCGATGCTGCCTTTATTCCGAAAATAGATGGAAGATTTTCATTTCTAGAAATCGCCCCACGGAGTTGCGTAAGGTGTTGAATGAACTGAGCATGATTTCTTCTTTCACCTTCAATTCTTGGATCAAATATCCATTTATGTCTTCGTTCATCTATCCAGAACGTTTCGCCTTTACTTAGGCACCAAGGGCAGCTATATTCCCCGTTATATTGATTGATGCGTTGGATTTGACATCTTGCAGGCGAATCAGCTGCAAACATTGGGAAGAAGACTTTGCTGACAATAACTTGATCTCTAAAATTCCACTCTACTCCAGAATGGGATAATAAGCGGCCCTCTTCTAAGAATGGTTGTAGAAACGCATCAAAATTAGGTTTTGATTCCCCAAACCATAAACCTATCAGAATTGTGTACTTTCGACGCAATTTGTAATTCAATTCATTGAATGATATCAGCAAAGGCCAAAAACCGAATTTAGACGAGTTAAAAGCGGCAACCCCATCCGTGTTAATGCAACACGATATCTCGAATCCATTAAGTCCAAGTTTTTTGTAACATTCTCCGTCCATAATATCGCGTAATACCTCGGTATTAGGTTGTTTTCTACTGAGCAGATTTTCGAACAACGACGATTTGACTGAATCATGTTGCAAAATAGATTCCATGGACGTTTTTAGGTCAAAAGAGATGAAATAGTTTCCTTTGTTCTTTACTAATTCATGGGAATTGATTTGCACTTTGCAGGTTTCACACTGAGAGGCACGATCACACTTTACTACTATGCCACAAGTGCGTCGGTGAAATCTACCCCGACAGCCTTTTGCAATAAATAGAGTGAAGGTGGAATACTCGATCCATGTGGTAAATGAAAATTAATCAGGCTCAGTAAGTCTATTGTTGATGAATTTGATAATTTGTGTCTATAAGCAAATCCGAGAATTAAAAGACAGCTCTCCATAGAAGTAATCTTAGCTCCATCGAACAGTTTAGAGTTCTGGTCTGAATTTAGCTCCTAAAAACAATTTAATATTCCATTCCATGATTATTCCATAAGTAAATTACAAATTTATTATCTTGATTAAAAAGTAGCCCACATTAGAAAACGCATCTTCATCTTCACTACTTTGACCTTCACTAGAGTCATCACTTTCTGCTGGGCCCTGAGGAATGTCGATTGTGTCCTAAAAAAGCAGTTTGTGTAATTTGCATCTTTTTGAACTATAATAAACTCACTAAAAGAAATTTGAATCATATTTACATCGATATGCAAATCTTCAGCTGGAATATGAATATTTTCCGTTCCATTATTCTCTGTAGGATTAGTGGTCTGAATAGTTTCAGGAATTGTTTGGAATTGTTCTTTGCGCTGCATGGAATATGGAAAATAATTTATAAGTGCTGCATCACTTTGAAATTGTTAAAAAAATGGAGCAGAAATTATTCGGATGAAATGGCACCTTTTGTATACGTCGATATGTTGTCCTCCTAGGCAAATTAAATCCCCCCTCCCCTGAAGGTGACCGGAAGTAATTCTTGTAATTATTTTTTCCCATGTCAATATCGATTCAAACCAAAAGAGAGGACATAGAGATATAAAAATAAGTATTGGAAAAAGCTGTCAAAAATAATTCTGCCAAATAGTGAGTTTTTTTCGCACTTTCCCTCCTGCACCACTCTTTCTCAATCAGAAGGCGAGTCCGCGAACTTTAGAATCGTTACACGTTTTGCGTTGAGTCACTTAAATACTCAGGAGTTAAATACATTCTAAGTTGTGATAATAATTTTAAAATTACATTGGTTTTTTGATAATGTAACATGTAAGTAATTAAGCCAAATACGCAGCTAAGAAATCAGTAAGACAGTCAGGGTTTGGTGACTTGAATTTTTTAGCTTAATCTGCACGTCAGTACAACTAAGCTCAGGATGGACCATCTTTTAGTCGAATGGGTCAGCGAACCAAAAACATATTCAGTGGTAAGAAGTGAAGATATCGTGGATGGGACGAAAAGATTGAATTGCGTTGGCCTTATTGGATCGGAAACGGAAATATCATGGGGGAAGAAGGTTTACTTGGGAAGAGTTCATGAAGTTGGTAGGTAGTCGCCGACATGATTTCTCATACCAAATATATTTATTATATTTTTTGATATTTTTTTCAAGGTCAAGACAAACGAATTTTAATTCAAAATGCTGACAAATTGGCCGCTTTGGCTCTATTGGAAGAGGAGAGTACTGCCACTAACCAGCTTACGCTGAAGGGTAAAATAACATGTCATAAATAAGAAATATTTCTAGTAATATGCCATATATATATGTATGTATTTGATATATAACGCTTTATAGTTGCAGTGAGGTCGAAGAAACGGAAAAAGCAACACACCGAAGCTACTAAAGTTCTCCAAATCGATAAGATTTTAGCATCGCAAAATTTGGATCAACCACAAGGCAATGAAGAAGATAACAATGAAAATAATCCAGTATCTGCTCCAGCAGAACCGAGCCTTGATACGGATATTGATGCACAAATCGACTATAAAGGTACTTAAGTACATCAAACGACGTTGTGGGATTAAATTGATAATCAAAATATTAACCCTTTCTTTATTGTAATTATAATTTTTGCAGAAAAGTTCTTGGCTCTTAAAATAAAATATAGAGAATTGCGGCGCAAACATAAAACCTTAGTCCGTTCGGTGGCTGAAACCAATGAGGTAAGGACAAGTAAACTTGAATGTTATCGGTTGATTTTAATGCATCGTTTAAATTAATTTAAAGGTTGAGCTGTATCCTTCATCGGGTGTCACGTTAAGTGCCGCAGAATTAGCGTCAATCAAACTGATGTCGAATCAACCAACGGTGAGAGCAAGAAATTTGTTTCGCCGTTTGTTTACGTTAGATGAACTCCGGACCCACTCACTTCTCGGAAAACGATGTAACGCCAACAGAAATGCAATTCCATTACCGGCAATTGACCCGAATCGTTGCAATGCAGTTATTGGTTGGTCGCTATAATTATTTTTGCGAATATTAATTTCCAATGTGACTCATATTTTTTGTTATATTTGACAGGATACATTTTGAAAGAGGAAGGAGTCGATGGTTTGCCTGCCAATGATCTTAGCTCTGCAGATGCGAAGTTATTTTTGAAGAAAAAAAGGACACTTAAACGTGAAATAACCAAATCTTTGTCGGACTTTTTGCGTGAGGAGACTCGCAAGCCTATTGTATAATTGATACATTAAACTTGTCTTCTTATGATTTAGAAAGTTTCAAATTGTAATCGTTTATCTATGAAATATAACGTACAATTTAATCAAGATGTTCTTATGTATTACGAATTATGCGTAATCGATTCTACACAAACTGTTCTTCAGGATATTGGGCCAATTTATGGCACGAAGTTTTTATGCATAATCATATCTGCATAATTATCTCTGCATAATGAATTACGCATAAATAATGCTGCATAATAAAATCCTGCAGAATTTTTTCTTCAGAATATTGGGCCAATTTTGGACATATGATTTCTGCAGAATTCGACACAATAATTTCTTCAGGAATTCCAACGATTTTTTTACTCGGGTTCTCATGATTAGTTTGTATTGTCTATGGAACCATCATGACGAATTTCAGTTTGATTGGAGGATTTTGAGAAATCGGTATGGGTCACCCCATACCGAAACTCCAATTTAATAATTTTTCAAATTGCAGTTCAAATTTATTCATTAGAAGCCGTTATCATGGTATTTACCAAATTTTGTCTAAATCCGATGACTTTGAAAAATCGGTATGGGTCACCCCACAGGGTCTCTCAAAATGAATATTTCTCCAATTTAAAGTCATATTCCCCCATCAGTTGTCATTAGTGACATCCACGCCAAATTTCAGCTCGATTGGAAGATTTTCAAAAATCGGGATGGGTAACCCACTAGGGTCCCTCCTGATAAAAAATTTTCGAATTTCACTTCATATTATTTCATCAGAGGCCATTAGCTACCTCTGTACCAAATTTCAGCTTCCTACGACTACTTCAAATTTTCGTCACCCTTGACCCATACCACTAAAATGACGCCCACCGGTCAACCACTGGACGGATTTGGCTCATCTTCGAACTCGAACTGTGTTTTTAGATAGTACTCATGTGTGTAAAATTTCAAGTCGATCGGATAAGTTTGAAGAGAGTAATCGTTAGACAGACAGACAGACAGACGGACAGACAGACAGACATGACGGGTACATAAGCCCTGGGTCGGGCTAAAAATGATATAGGCAACTAAAGAAAGTATGGGAAACAGGTAGCTTTTTAGTATTGTTCCAGTCATATCGTGAGTTACGCATCGTGTATCGCGTGATTAATAAATATTACGTATTTATTTCTTTAATTGTAAACTAGTCTGTCATATGGCTATGAAATACGACCAGAGACAAACTTGAATTTCGCTAAAATTATTCTTACCATTTGTTAACAAATTATTCCAGAGTGTATTTACCAATATTAATTTATTACGATGTCTGTTAACGCAAATGATATAAGAAATTTTGATTTTCCACTTACTGAAAGCGAGGTTGATGTCGGGTATCGGTCTTGTGGAGGGGATGGAAGGCGTGGTTCTGGTAGAACTTGCAAAATTTGGTCTCCATGATTTCCCAACGTGTGCGAATTCTGAGGTAATTTTGGCAATGGGGTTGCACGAGTTCTGAAATTTTGAAGATATATTTTTTAAGAATTTTTGCGTTATTTATTACAACAGTTTGAAAGGAGGTTTTTATCTAGAAATTTTGCATGGATGAAAAATCGCAGATTTATATAATGTGAATATAGGACGTAAAATTTTGGTCTATTGATAATTATTGATTAGGCTAATAATGAATTTACAATATTGGGAGAAAAATTACATAGATTGCTAGAATTAAACTAGGTAAAATAATTTTTAAATTTGCTTCTATCCTGAAAGTTTTCTAATCTTAGAAATATAATTTGTCCATATATTGGGCAAATTAATTGGCAAAATATTATTTCTTTGTAACAAATCTTCCAAGTGCTTTTGAGATATTGAGAATTTTTATGATCATCAAGTCAAAAATAGTGAGGCTGCGTATTTTTCTTCATTAAAAGTTAGGTTTTAATTCCATTGTCAAAAGCTATGCAGTACTAGTTGCAAAGTAGTTAGTAATTAATTAATGTATAAAATTCGTCAGCGTATTATTGCTTCTAAGGGCAAAAACATTTGTGATATGTATTGTCTCGTGAAAAAATACATATTGCTTCTTCACGAGACTTTTGAACTGATTAAAACTATGTGACAGATTAATTCTACAATCTTTAACAAACTCGGTTATAACCTAGGGTGAAAATGTCGCATCTTAAACAGGGTTTCGTTTTTCCCTTCCAAAACTATATTTTCCCATGGGAAGTGGGAAAAAGTGGTTTTTACCGTCCAAAATGGGAAAATATGACTGCCCATGTATTTAGTTATGGGGAAAGCTAGCTTTCTTAATAATCAATATTTTGAAAATTGGACTTCATATTCGTCATCTCCACGAAATTCTGAAAATTTTGATATATAATACGGACATTTTTGGAAAGTTTTGAAATTTTTTCTGATTTTCTCGTATAAATACATGTAAATTTCAAAAATTTCTTTAAATCAAATTGTGTTATCGACTTTTTTAACAGCTTAATATAGAAAATAAATATGAATTTAGATTTGCACAGTCACAATTTTTAGAAAAGATGTTTCAAATCGCTGAAATTATCCTAAAAAGCGGGGTTTTCCCGTTTTTCCCAATTTTCCCATTTCCCACTTATTTTAGGTGGGTGGTAAAAAGTGCCTTTTTCCCACTTTTTCCCGCCGCCCTGGGAAATTTGGTTTTTACCAATCGAAACCCTGATCTTAAATCTGCAAAAATTCTAGAAAAGTTTGTCTAAATAACTAAAGGAGTTGGAGTCATGTTACTCATAAGGAGGAGAGGTCGGGGTATGGAGACAGTCCAATCCGCAATAAACTTGAAACCCATGATAAGTTAGCCATATAAAGACATTATTTGGATTCGTTGGCCACCCGTTTTTGAAATTTTGACAATTGACCTTAAAACCAACTATAAAAATTTATAAATCGAACCCGTAAACCAAATTTAACATTTGGTAGGGATATTCTAAGCGTTAATAACGTACGCATTATTTTCACTGAATTTGCAAAACTTTCGCGAAGAAAAATTATTCGCAACTTTTCCTAGATAAGGCGGTGTTCTTATTTCCAAATTTATTTCGACAACAAATTGCTAAATGAATTACGATACTAAAACGTTATTGTGACTACGCCTATTGTAATTTTATTTGAGAAATTGGGATGGCATAATTATAAAAGTATTAAAATAAATACGGCATTTTTACAACGTACTTAAGGGTAGCAACGAAGTCTGAAAATAATTATAATAAATATACGCTGAGAAATGGCGAAACTTGACACGTTTTGAATTATTTCTCAGCTTTGGGAAACAATTTAAAAATTCTGTTCAATAAAAGTTGTAGATATATGTCTTATACAAAGATGAAAAATACAAATTCGATATTTTCAAGGTTTTTGAATGAGGAGATCTGAAAATAGTGCAAGTTTCATAAAACAATACATTTAAGCGATTTGAGGCTTGTTGAAACTAAAAAATGCAAATCTATTTAATCACTTTTTTGCTAAAATAGCTAATTAATAAAATAGCATTAAGGTTTTTCAGTTTATATAGATTACCTTTAACTATTTTCAATTCTTTTCAATGTCGTGCTAATTTTCACTCTTTTAAGATCTCCTCATTCAAAAACCTTTAAAAAATTGAATTTGTATTTTTAATCTAACTATAAGACCAATATCTACAACTTTTATTGACAGAATGTTTAAATTGTTTCCCAAAGCTGAGAAACAATTCAAAACGTGTCAAGTTTCGCCATTTCTCAGCGTATTTTTATTATAATTATTTTCAGACTTGGTTGCTACCCTTAAAAAAATCTATTTTCTTAGTCTTTCGGAATTGTAATAATTTTAAGAAATTAAGAAAATAAGATGCTTCAATGTATGAGAATATAAATGCAAAAATGTGAAAATGAAATTGCAAATCTAAATGGATACATAAATAAAAATTTTCTCACTTACCCCCCATTCGTATCCCGAATCGCAACCCAACTCGTATCTTCTATTCCAGTCGGGTTATTATTATTCAAATTATAAAAATTTCCCGCTTGTACGGAACTCGGTGTTGAAAATGTATCTCCAAAGTTTTTAGTTTCGTTAATCTTGGAGTCACTAGGAATTAAGGGATATTCCAAAGTCCACCCAGAATTTGTTGGGGTTACCCCAATGGGAAAATTAGCGTGGACATTTTTTCCCTTTTTTACCCCGACTAGATTTTCTCCCGGGTTTTTGCGGGGTTAATAATTCCGTGACTATTTGCTGAGATGGGATAAATTTTGCACTTAAAGTTCCCCAAGATCCGCCAGTAGGGGTGGTTTCGGTGGTAACTTTTCCGGATTTTATTTTAACACAGGACACTAATTCTAAAGCACTATATAAAATCAAGCCTAAAAATTGAAATGTTCTTATGTTTCTGAAAAAATGCATTTTCTTAGAAAAAAATAGAAGACAAATTTGCACCAATTTTTGCAGACTAGAATGATTCCCATACAGGTAGAAAAAGAATACTGGTTTCTAGATTTCATTCAAGAATACAATATCGCAATAAAAATAGTCGGTGTCCCATATTTTGTAAAAAAGAAGAAGGAGTTCTAATTAGTAGGACAATGTAAGTATAGAAGTAAATATGACGCTACCCGATGCATTATGGATGACATGTATGTAATACTTGGACTCATAATAACAATAACAATAATAGTGATCTAGTTTACTTTACTTATTTTTACCTCATTTCTCTTTCCTCTCTTTCCGATATGATCAATTTTGATTCCGTCATTCCGTCAATTAAGATGCTTTAACTTGCCCCTAGATACGGATACATTAGTTGGCAACGGACATATTTATACGGGTGGGTAGAGGATTGTTAACTAGTCATGTACCTGTGCAGGTTAATTAATCCCTGTCTCATGTGTACATTTGTGTTGGTAATAAAAAGACGGAAACGAGAAAATTGTAAAATTCCCACGGTCCATGTTCCCTTTAAAGATATGTATTTTGTAGCAACCTACCTGGTTACTTGGCTTGATTGGATTTATTATACCCGTGTGGAAAGCTACTTTTAGTTTTTGCCATTATTTTTATTCTTATATGTAACACACTTATGTGTCAGTGATAAATAGCGAGATCCCTTTTACAGATAAATGTAACATATTTCCGCTGGATGATATTCGATCTTATGTATTTATTCTTAAGTTAGAAATAAGTGTATTACGACGAGGCACGTTTGTTTTTGCAAATGTGGAACAATTATTATGATCGTTCTCATTTTTTTGTGTAAGCACAAATTATTTAATTGTTTTGTAAGGTAATACAGGGAGGATGGATATGTAGAATTGTGTCATTTATTAATTAATTAGGAATGGCAATATTTGCAAAATAAATATGTATGTATACGTGTTGAAGTGATGATTATTGATTACGTAGTAATTGAAAGGTTGTAATTTCTGGGGTAAAGGTGTATGAGATAAGGCTAGTTTTCTTAAATAATAATATCTAATGTGTCCACTCACAGGAACAATTTATAGAAAAAACTTACGAAATAAAATTGTTTGTAATATTGGTGATTTCATAAACTATTATTTTATAATGTGCACAACTACACACTGCAAATAAACTGGTGTCAATTCCGCGCGGTGTAGTCACATATAGACACCACGCGGTGTTAATTGCCCGTATTAACACCGCGTGGTGTCTATATGTGACTACACCGCGCGGAATTGACACCAGTTTATTTGCAGTGCACGGTTGATATTATTTTTGTAGAAAATGAAATATTCAAGTGGTTTTTAAAGGGAGGGATGTTGTTCATTTCGAGATTTTAGATATTTTTCATAATATAATTCAATCATATTAATTAGTTTATGGATCGATCAATAAATTTATATAAAAACTTTTATTAATTATGTCGAACGGTATATCTGTTAAGTCTCGTTGTAATTTCAAGTATGGATAAATATTTAGTTTGGGGTTAAACTTATGGATTTTAGTGATCATACAAATGTGGTGAGATTATTTAAGATTTTCTAAAACCATACGTAATTGATGTGACATAATTTTAGTGCTTTATTACGAATATTATTTTCTGCATTAATCCCATCATGATAAAGTCTTTTTTTAAGATGCGTTCCAGTAAATATATCGATCAATTTAAGTAATAAAGTTGATTTAAATTCTTAATAAAGTATGGATTTTTATTATGTATAAGAATGTATAAGGTTATCTTTAATTACAATTTACTTTAAGAGATTACTGACTCGGAAGGATTCAGACTCTGAGTCTTTCCTAGTCAATAATCTCTGAATTTCAGAGGGCTGATTATGTAAAAACTGTATTATTATTATCTTTTAATTTTTGCACGATCTTTTGACCAAGAAAATTTAAGTGGATGTAAAAATTAAAATTAATCATTACGGAAATTATTTAGCACGCAACAATTTTTACAATGGGACAAAAGAGCGTACAGTTCTTTTAAATGGCTATGACACCTCATTTGCATATTTAAGACCGCACAAAACCATAGCACAAAATCATAGCACACTTGAAATATCTTTCGTAAAAAAATAAACATTTCTGGCGTTACAGATTAACAAAAGTAGCTTATTTTCCCACTATTTTGAGAATTTTGTTAATCTGTAACGCCAGAAATGTTTATTTTTTTACGAAAGATATTTCAAGTGTGCTATGATTTTGTGCTATGGTTTTGTGCGGTCTTAAATATGCAAATGAGGTGTCATAGCCATTTAAAAGGACTGTAAGAAAATGTTTCTGTTCAAATCACTTATATAACATAATTTCCTAGATTTTTGATAAATATGGATGTCAATGTCGTTATTGTGGAAGAGAAAGTGACTACTTTGGTAGGTAAGATTTGATTGGATTTTTTGCACATTTTTATGATAAATTTATGTAAGAGAAAGACTAACAAATATTCCCATGAAGTGCTTTAGAGACTTTCAAAAATTTTGACTTGCGACTTTCAAAAAGTTCCGGATAAAAAAATCATAAAATTGTTCGACCACAATGCAACGAATACCTCGTATGTTAAATTTGCTCAATTCCGTCTGTGTAATATTTTAAGGCGATCAAGTAATTTAAATAGATGAGTACATTCAGGTAACAAAATAAAGTCGTATGCATTTTTTTGTTACTTAACAAATACGTGACTAAAATTTTATTTATTGGATTAATAATATCCATCCAGGATTTTGTAATAGTTTAGAATTGTGTCATTTGTTGGTAATGGTAATATTACAAAACTAAAAACAATATTATGATTATGTAGTAATTGAAAGATTACAATTTAACGGGAAGAGATCTATCCATGGGATATTTATAAATTCTGGTTTCTTTTGAAAGAACGATTAATGGGTGTATTCACGCCAGTTTAGAAGAAGTACTGCGAAATAAGTCGTTTGCAAATTGTCTTCTTTTTACGTTTTTTTTCTGTCTGTTCTTGAATTTTTTGTACACACCTTATTAAGATGTTCGCTAAAATGGGAGGACTAGGATACTTGTTGCATATTTCTTCCAATATACTAGGGAAGATTATTTTGACGTATTGAAAATGTCAACTTTTTTCAATATATATATATTTTTGTAAGACTATTTAGTAATTTGCCAAGGTTATAAAATATTTTGCAGGAGAGAAACCCATTGCAAATTGATAGTGCAAAATTGACGAATTTTTTTAACTTATCTGTTCAACAGAAATAGATCAACTTAATTTATTTAATCCCAGGTTTTATTGTGCATTATTTTTTTAATTTACTCCAAAAATTGTGGAGTACATTGGAAGTGCAAATTGATTCACGTTGTCAAATTTTGGCAAAAACTGTTGAATTTTTGTTGGCGAAAATATATTTCATTATTATTTTTTAAACGTGAACCACTCAATTGCCGATATTAGGTTAATTGAAAGTTAAATAATTTCGTAGCTTAATAAGATGTTGAAGATTTCCAGGGGTACCACAAAATCATAGGTCGATCATAATATCCTCCGGAAGAAAATTAATATCTGTGGTATTATAGTTGAACAAAATTCACAAAATAGTTAAACAGGGAGCAATTTTTTGTAAACTATGTATAATGGCAAAATCATATATTATATTCTAAGAGAGATATGTATAACGTATGAGTGTTCTATGCTACGGTTTTATGTGGGGTTAAATAATTAAAATTTAAATAATAGGTTTGGATGGACGGTAAATTAGGTATTATACCTGTTTGAAAGCAATGTAGCTTGCTGGCTAAATTTTTCCAAAATTTATCATCGCAAAAAAAGTATTGGTTTGTATTGATAATAAAAATTTACAGACATTTTCGACGCAATTTCTAACTCGTAATTATTACTTTTTTAATATTTCGCAATTTAAATATTCACAATACCTGAAGTAAAAGTAATTACTTGAAATATTTACAGATTTCATTGAGTGTGAAAAAACTCAATCATTTCAGAATTTTACACACTGTGGATAAAATAGGTCATTGAAGGTCCTAATTTATTAATTACAGTCCGTTTAAATGGCTATGACACCTCATTTGCATATTTAAGACCGCACAAAACCATAGCACAAAATCATAGCACAATTGGAATATCTTTCGTAATAAAATAAATATTTCTGGCGTTATGGGCTAACAAAATTCTCACGATAGTGAGAAAATGAGCCATTTTTGTTAATCTGTAAGGCCAGAAATATTTATTTTATTATGAAAGATATTCCAATTGTGCTATGATTTTGTGCTATGGTTTTGTGCGGTCTTAAATATGCAAATGAGGTGTCATAGCCATTTAAACGGACTGTACGGATGAAATTGTTAAATCATGCAGTTATACAAAAACTTTTAAAATTATTATTATTTTACATCCCAAAAAGCGTACCGCGAATCATGTATCTGTTAAACCTAATAATAATTTCAAATCTTAATAAATATTAAGTTTGGCAATAAATTTACACATATTTACAAAAGGTTTCTCAGAAGACTTGTAGAGTTTTTCGAGCAAAGGCTTAAAAATTATGGAAAAATAGATTCTTTTTCGCGGTTTTACCGCATAACTTATGAAATTTGATGTGATTAAAAAGATCATGCTATTTATTTTACTTACAAAAGTTAATGACAATTATTTATCATCGATATATCTACATAGATACAGGAAGCATTATAAAGTTGAATTATACATTAATTTTGAAAAATAAGGGTTAAAATTATATAGTCCAATGGTACACATCGCTTGCAATAATTTTTAGTTTATATCGCAAGACTCCTATTTTTTATTCAACTGTTTCCACCACCTGTTCATTTCAGCATTGCTAAATACTTGGATCGGATTACTTTCATTTTTTGTGAAACAATTTTCCACCAGAAATTTCCCCATAATATCCGCCTCAATTGATATCCAATGGCATCTGTCTAGAAAGCGGGTAATAGAAACCATGGTTGGTCCAGTCATTCCTCCACCGTTAAATGGTGTCAGAATTGTAGCTGGCTTATAAATGGATACCCTTTGGAAATTTAGTTTGCACAATTGGTCTTCTACCTCCGCGGTGAAGCGAGCCATCTGAAAGTAAAAGAATAATTACGTAAAATTTATAATTTAAGGATTTATTATACATAAAGAACAGAAAAGTGTCACAGCTAATTATTAATGACATTTGATTTTTTAAATAAAAACACTGTAACTAATTTTGCAAAAATTTCGAATTATGGTAAAGAATTTCATGCAAATTGGTTAAAATTATTCCCGTGTAGGATAAGGCGTATTATGAAATCCTTTCCTTGTGGTGAGCGTCTTATTTACTTGCTATGTATATTTTACTGCCAATTGCAGAGTCATATAATAGACGTTACTAATAATTATTATGAAACTACATATTTTTAGCAAAGTAATTAATTATAGATTACCTTCAACCATGAATTTTGCTTGACCAACATTCCACTCATTTTATGGAAATGTTTGCATCCTCCATCCTTCGCTAATTTTCCTACGGCCAAAAGCCAATCTTTCGTGATTCGGTTGAAAGTCTGTTCATCTGAATTGAATGGATTGACTCCCAATGTATAAATCCCGACATCAAAATCTTTCAATTTCTCTGCAAAGTATTCTGAATTCTCTGAAAGCTTGTCAAAGTCTACGACATCCTGTCTGAACTTTGTAAAATCTCCAGGAATTTTTTGGGAAGAGCTTTCCTTTTCTTTGTCCAAATCAACAATTCTACGTCCAAAAAGAACCACTCTTTTAAAACGGGGTTCAACTGCTAAAGCGTTGACAATGGCACGACCAGCCCCTCCAGTATACCCGAATACGAATGCGGATAAGTTGTCAGGGTCCGTTTTAAATATTATATAAATATTTAAATATGGAAAAGTATTATTATAGAAAATATTAAATATTATGTAACTTAAATCATCTGTTAGGCATGTTTGCCCTGTAAGATGCAACTGGTAGGAGTACACACACTTATATACGAGTTTGAGTCAAGTGATTATATGTAATCCGAGCCAGGGCTGATGGAACGCTGATGTCTGTCTGTCTGGTTTCATGTATTTCTTTTAAAGCATCGAGTTTAAATTATTATTCATCATAGTGATAGGAATAAGTGTGTGGGATTTCTTTGGATAACTACATATTACTTTAAATACTCGATTAGATTTAATACGAAATAATGGGATTGATTGAGCGATGACTGAAATAATGTTGAGTAAAGGTGTTTCTGTTTTCTTTATCTCAATGTTTGGTATTTACATGCAGAACAGAATAGGGAATTCTTTCCCATTCTTATGGATGGTTCATGATAACAAATGCAGGTAAAAAACACAACGACTTTTCTAGATAAACAAGTACAGGTAGGAGATTAAATACGTGTAAGTATGTACATGGGTAGACCAATCCTTCCAGAATGAAAGGAAGATTGCACACATTAAGTGATGAAAGGATTGGACAGCGTTGCATTTCTTATTTAAACAAACTAACTCTCTCTGGAGTCTGTTATAAACTATATACGTGGAGATAACGAAATTTATCCTTAGTCAGTGTCATGATGACAAGCATGTTTTCATAGATTAAAATCTCGATTGGATATTAAGCAATGCATTATGTTCTCACATTATATTTCCTCTGTTTAAAGTATTTTTTGGAGAAATATCTTAAAATGTTAAAGGAAGAAGATATATAATTGCCGTTTCTGAAGGGTCTTTAATGTACATTACATTTGAACAATTAATAGTAGGATATTAATAGTAGGATCTTGACTAAGGTTGTAGTTCGAATTGATTGGCTTTATAAAATTAAAGAAAATGTGAAATTTTTGATATTTTCATTCAAACCACCGTCATGCCTTGTTTGTATTTTTAAGAAAAATTTACACAATTCAACCCTTGATATTTTTATATATTAAATAACCTGATGAATAAAGTTGAAAGGACTTGGATGTGTGAAATTTTTACAACTTCAATTTTATCATGACTAGAATTTTAAAAATTGATATCTGCTTAATTCACCATACCATGAAGGTCTACACAAATCGTTTTTAACAAAAATTCCACGTGTTGAAATTTATTCCCTAAATAAAAAAAGAACACTATATACGAAGCGAAAATACATAATTTTAAATACTTCTGTGTCAACTTGATTACTTGTCAGGAATCGATCCAACTAACAAATAAATTTGTGTTTGAATGAATTCTAAGTACCTGAAGAAGTGTTTAAACAAGGGGTTACGTTACATGCAACATTTTAAATTTAATAATTTACATACTATTATCAGGAGATGTTGCACATTTACTTATGGCAGATTTTTTCTTTAAATTATCTTTTTAATGTTTTTTCCACAGAAATAGTATTATACATAGAAGACTGAACGCAGCCACCATGGTCGTGGTTGGAGGAGTTATGCACCGCTATTCCTAAACGATTTAAGTTAATATAAAATATTTGTATTTTTATATTTGACACAAAAATTATACAATTTTAATAATTTTTATCAATTTTTTGAAAATTTAAGTTAAATTTGTGACGCATTTATGAAACTGTAAATTTGCATTATTATTATGTTTTTAAATCTGTCACAAATTTAATTTAAATTTTCAAAAAATTAATAAAAAGAATTAAAATTGTATGATTTTTGTGTCAAATATAAAAACACAAATATTTTAATTTAACTTAAATCGTGTAGGAATAGCGGTGCATACCTCAATGCATGGCAACTTTTCTCAACATATTTACGTTATACCTGTACCGGTTGGTTTTTTCTCAGAATTCATTAAACATTTTCTTGCGGGTATAGTCGTATTTCAGAATTTTCCCCGTCGTGCAAGGTTTTCAGAAGGGTTTAGAATTTAGAATTCCTTCAAAAACAGACCAAGCACGAGTAATTTGAATTAAAAAAAAGGATCTAATTAAAAACAAAGCTAGCAAAAATTAGATTCCAATATGTGTGGAGTGAGGTTTAAATTTTTTTAAATCCAAATGCCAGCGTTACATCGATGGATGCGACGATCTACAAGACTTAATCTTTCACAAAATGTAGCAATGGCGTTAAACTATTTACATTTTTTAAGCAGGAATAACGTCATGCTTGTCTCTATTTATTTTAAAATATTATGCAAAGTTGAATTCTTCATGCAATTTGGAATTGCAGTTTGAACAGAAATACGCTCTTAGAAACCTAATATTGGATTGTCTCATTATATTAAATTAGTCACAAATTTTGAATGAATGAAGGATTTAAATAACAAAAGTACTGCATAATACTTGTTTTTCCTATAATTTCTTAAAACGTATTTTTATTACTGTCCGCTTTGCAAAATTATACGTTTAAAGCCTCCAGAAAATATAGAGAAAAATTAATATAAAGAATTTTGGAAATATTCGCAAAAATTAAGTAAGAATAATGTGGGTTTCACGATATACAGATAATGCTGGATTTTCAAACATATCTCCAATGGACTTACAATGTTCCAGAGTTATTTTGGTAGTAAAGTTTTATTTAATTTGCAGATGTAAAAATGCTCTAAATATATTCAAAAAATATATTATACTCGTTAAATCGTAAAAACAATTCTACGAGGGAATGAATAAATTAGAAACATTTGACTACAAGTGAAAGATGATTTATTGTTCTCGCTATTTATTTTATTCTGTTAAGATTTATTGTTTGTGTATTGTAACCAAAATTAATTAGTTACTCCATTTGCCCATTATTAAACGGCTCAACAACCACCACCCAGCATACTTCCCAAATTTCCTCCTCCACCCCCGGAACTACCTCCGGAAGATCCACCCCCACTTCCGGATCCCCCTCCTGAAGATCCACCCCCAGTCCCACCACCTACTAAATTTCCCAAATTTCGACGATACCGATTTGCTCCAGAGTCAATCATAGAAGAGCTGCCTTGATCTAGTTAAATAATGGCCATAATATTTGATAAGTATGGGCTGAGATATTTCTTGTAAAAAATGAAATCTCGTTTCGGAACGTTCAAAAAAATTTGGAGGTATAGTCGTTGTAAAGAAATTAGAGCTTTTTATCAATTTTTTTAGCATTTTCTGACTCTAATTTCCAGGGGGTGTGGTGAAATTTAGAAAATCTGGGAATATCTGATTTACTCAATTGTCCCAGGTTTCCAAAACAGTTTAAATTTTTGAAGTCGGACAACAATTGAGGGCACAGTGAGAATTTTAATATTTGTCAAAAAGAAGGAAAACAAGCTCTAATTTTGTTTACATCAACCATAACAATTTATTGCCACACCCCTTTGGCATTTATACTAATTACCGTAGGAAAACTCAGCATTTCCAATAGATAACGAGGAGACCAGGGTTGGTGACGATGCCATCATTATTAAAATGATGAGACTGAACAGCCCTGTCCATTGTGGAAGGGGTGACATGGGAAACCAATCTTTCAGAAATATTTAGAAATATGGGGTTGTAGAAGTTTGATAAAAAAACGGTTTTATTTTTGTAGGAATTATTATTTTTTAATTACTTACTTTAATTAAGATCGAAACGTATCGGTTGAGGTTCAGGGTAAGTGTGAAGCCAGTGAATTTCTGAAGTGTTTGGAATCCGTTTTATGCAATTCAGTCAAAGACGAAGACAATGGGTTTTGGCAAAAATTAAAGTTATAACGACGGGCAGTTAGACAAATAAAAAATGAAATTTCCATTGTTGTATAACCTTTGACTGGATGCTGCCTTTTATAATTTGTTGCCTACGTGACTGCGTACGAAATATACAGTTAAATTTTATTGCCAGACTCGACATTGCGCTTTTCACAAAATGCATAAAAATAAATGTTTGTATGACGGAAGATAAGAAATGACGCAGGGTGCATTGTAGGTATTTGCTGAATAAAATTATGTAAATATTTGTGGTTTATTTATTGTAGTTTATATAAATTTTGAAAAATACACTAATAAACTACGCAGGCATTTAGAGATCATTATCATGCGAATAATTATGATGTTGAACCACGATACTACATTTGCTAAAAAACACATCTTTCGGTTGAATTATTATACATAATTTTCCCGACAACAAGTTAACACACCGAAATGGTTAAGCATAAATAAATTTTGTCGTAAAGAAATCAAAATTTATATATTTCTATGGTTAATAAGTTAAAACAGCATAATTAATAACATTTGCTAAGAAATTTGCAAGTTGGTAATCTGGGATTTTTTTAATTTTACGCGGTTGTGTAGACTTGAGGCATTATGGTATGAATAAGAATTTATTATATATGTCTCACCTTCCCCCGAACCGCGTAAAATTAAAGAATCTTAGATCGCCACGATTCCCTTAAATTTAAAATTCCCTTAATTCGTGGAATAAGGTCGCATAAAAACAATTCCTGAATTCAAGCAGCGCTTCCACAACCTTCTTTTTGTAACAGACTAATTAAAAGAAGGATAAATATTTAGTTGGAACTAAATTTGGGCATTTTCTAAATTAAATATACTTCATATATATTTGCGGAATCTTTGTATGTTTAAAATTTTACAGAACTCGTTACGTATAAAATTTTAAGTTGACTTCATATTTTTTTTAGATAACATGGTTTTTGAACCGATAATCTGCATGTCTGCTGAAAATGAGGATTGGCAAAATATTTACGAGATACTAGAAAGTCAGTGGAGAAGGTGATCCAATTAAATGAAATTAATTTTGTACTCCAGGAAACTGGGATCTTTTTCTTTTGAGACAATATTATAAACTAACCCAATAATTTTTCATGGTTTACAATTTTTTTATTATACTGGTTAATTTTCAATTTTCTTTAATAAATCTTGAAACTTCCAACTAATATTGTTTCATTTTTATTACAACTGTTTAAACTGCTTATTCCGACATCATGTAATTACACGAAAAGCTACAGCCTTAGAAGCAAAATTAAATGACTTTCATTACTATATTGAAAATTGCTATAAATTTATAAATGGTTGTAAACTGTGTCAAGTTTTTTGGGTTTATTTGCACGCAATTTTGTTAACATTTAAACTGTTTGCTTTGTAAAGATAAATTTTTGACTACGAATTAACTGGTTTATGTTCCTAAATTTCTAGCCAGACTTATTGGATACACCATTAATTAGGTCTTCGTACGTTATGAGGCGCCCACTATGCATAGTGGGCGCCTGATACCGACATTGTGACCCATAGGTATGGGACATAATTTGTGGCCAATTTTGTGCAACAAGTCCGTTTTAATATATATATTGGAAAGTATTATACAAATTATATATCTTAAAATATTACGATCGTCCTTACAAGCTATATTAATTATCTGAAGTAATTTAGAATGAACTTATCAACAAGCTAGGGTTGCCGAGGGCATCCGGTAGTACATGGTAAGTAAGCGGGTACCCTCTCTCATTTACAGCAATAAGGGTTCAAAAAAAATTAAACAAAATAATTCAGCAAGATTCGCAAAAATTCAGAACAGTATATGTTTAACTCCATAATAAATATTTTGCTGTCCCGTTCCACTCAATTGTATTTGAAAAGATCCTTCATTTGTTTGTACATACATATTTCATAACTACTTTTGCATTAAAATTGCTTAATTTTGCGAGGTAAAAATTCTCAAAATTTACTAAACAAACTAAGATAAATTAAATTTGCAACGTGTAAAGTTTCCAAGTGAGGAATTAAAAAAATGCTTTTAGATATATTCATGGAATAATATTTTCTGATTTAAAAATTGGAAAGTTTAGCGCCGTGCCGGTGTGATTAGCATAAATTGTTTGATAAAAAATTTTAAATTAAGATTAAGAAATTATATATTTCTTGTGTATTGACATTAATTTGTTTATTGTCATGATTTTTAAAAGCAAAATTGATTTCTAAAAAGAAAGTCCACTATATTTGAAAATCTGAATATATCACTTTAAGAATAAAAAATCATGAAATACACGACTCTGTCAATCGAATTCACAAAATTGGTAAGAAGGATTAGCACACAGAACTATGGACCAGTCGACACAATTTGCTCGTTATATATACTTTACAAAAATTAATACCTATTATCCCGAATTAGTCACAAGTTAATGGTAATAAACAATTATCGTATCAAACGTATTTGTTTTAATCTTAAACATTTTTATTAACGGCATCTTTACCAGCTTATAAATATTTAGCAAGTATCGGAAGTAATTTATTGCGAGATTATTAAAAAAACCTCCTCAAAAAAATAAACTAATTAGCAAAACTTCCTTATGATGTAGGGTTGACGGCGTCAACTGTGACGCCATAATAAATATTTGAGGGCATTGTGCATTTATTGGTAACATCTGACAGATAAGGAACAAATCCTTTGCGTCTTCATATTTAGGATTATTGTGGTAGATAAATTTGATATAAAGATTTTGCACAGATGTAAATATTGTAAAAGAAAAGATTCACGATAAAATATTCATAAAAGATAAAAATTTTCGTCAATGAGATGAGACATGAAGTTGTCTATGGCACTGGCGTTTAAAAAATTTGCTGTTTGATCAATTGATTGAAAAATATGATAAAAAATATAATAAAAATTGGTCCCGTTAAAAATTTTAGTGACATTCCGGCATTCTGATTGGCTGTTGACATTTGAATTGGCCAAGCAAGATTCAGCAATGGGTTTTGGAATATGGGTCCAACCGAGTAAAATTAGAAAATCTTAGATCCCCATAATCCACGATTCCCTTGTAAACAACTATAATTTGAATTAGGATTTTACCACCTGATACTTGTTTATTCATAATTGTTTAATTAGTGCATGAAAAAGATGAAAAAAATTGGGTAATATGTGTTAGCATAGTTTGGATAATTAAGTTGTAAGTAATATGAAGTTATTCAACCAATTATCTAATTATTCAACCCGTCCTTATAATAAAACTTGCCAGGATACTAGAGTTACATTCAGAAAATGTTAAAATTTGAATCACAATTTTACTCTGGAGTTTTTTAAAATTTCTGACTTGGTTTTTGTTACCAAATTGTAGAACAATTTCCTATTAACATTTTCTTCCAAATTATCACCGACAGTTTTTTTTTATTTCAGAATTTTTACGCCGAAACGGATTTCACGGAATTTTGTGAAATAAATTTGTTTTAAAGATTTTCCTTGTTGAACTCCTAGATTAGATTCCTCTTGTTTGTTTAACAATTTTCATTATGTGTTTAAATTACGATGAAAGTAATTAAATGGTATAATTGTCGCTTCATTTTTTTCTCAATGGCCAAAGTAGTAAATAGGTTGAATATGACTATTACTAAATTTATTACCATTCTAATAATATTTGTTAGTCTTCGGTAACAGAATACGTACTGTTGATGAGGCTGTTTAGCAGCTAATTTTTGAACCATGTTGTGAATTTTGTTAAACTGTATGTTAATGAAAGTTATACAATACGTTTAATTAATTCAACCAAACGAAATTAAATTAAACCCTTCGCGCCCATCTGTTCCCGCCACCAAAATGTTTTGGTGATTTGACGAATTCTTGGCACTACATGTATCCAGTATAAGAAGTTAAAACGCAGATCCGGACCAACATTAGTGTGTTGAAAAGAAGAAATTGCAAACAGTTTATAAAAAGCCAAAAGTGAATATCACTTCCTTCCTACTTACCGTTGAAGATCATACATACGTCTATCAATTCAATGCGCAAAGACTCTCTTCGCACACCGTATTAAAAAGTATTATACAAATTTTAAAATATTACCGTCGTCCTTGTAAGCTATATTAATTATCTGACATAATTTAGAGTGAAATTATCAACCAGTTTTGTTGAACAAGCTTTCAAAAAGTAAAAACAATTAAACAAAATAATTCGGGAAAAGTTAGAAACAGTATATATTTCACTCCATAATAAATATTTCGCTGCATTTTCCAACTCCATTGTATGGGAATAGATCGATTGTCATTTTTTGTGCACATTTTGTGCATACTTTTGCGTTAAAATTGCTTAATTTGCAGAAGTAAAACCGTTGTCCGACTCTATTGTTTGAGGAAAGTTCGTCGTTCATTTTTTTGCGTATGTTTCAGAACTGGTTTGGCAATAATATTATTTACTAACCTTCCTACAAAGATAAATTGATGCGGAGTTCATTAAATTTGCAAGGTGTAAAGTTTCCAAGTGAGGAACTAAAAAAAAGGTATACTTTTCGATATATTAATGGAATAATATTTTCTGCTTTAAAAAAATGCAAAATTTAGCGCCAGTATGAGTGTTCGCGATGGTTTGATAAAAAAATTGAAATAGAGATCTATATTTCTTGTGTGTGTGTTGACCTTGATTTGTTTATTGTCATCATTTTTTAAAAGCAAAATTGATTTCTAAGTAGAAAGTCCATTAATAATCTGAATACATCACTTTCTTGATGAATAATAAATCGTGAAGTATATGAGGATAAGTAGACAGAACTGTAGACAAGATTAATGGACATAATTTGCTCGATATACTTTACAAAAAATAGCATCCATTATACTGAATTAGCCACAAGTTATGTATAATACAGGATTATTGTACACATTTGTATTTGTTTTAATATTAAACATTTTTATTAACGGCATCTTTACAAGCTTTTACATATTTCACAAATATCGGAAGTAATTTATTGCGAAATTATTAACAAACCTACTGAAAAAAATAAACTAATTCACAAAAGTTCAGAATTATGTAGGATCGACTTCACGCTGTAAAAAATATTTGAGTGCATTTGG